TCATTCCAGACTCTTACGTTTCTTAAGAAGTTGGACAAAGCTGTGTTTCACATACGCTTTACATGTTGTTAGAAGGAGCCAGGACTTGGAAAAGGACAGGTTACAAAGATGGAGGATCAGTCCACCTCACCCCCCCCCCACGAGTCCATAGTCCACTTTAATATGCATTTCTTTTTCTGTAATCTTGTCATGAAAAATAATATCTAATCCTATATTCCTTTTAAACAGTTCTCTCCCTTATCTGTTTCAAGGAAGTATACATTATTAATCCCCTCTTTTTCTAAGGTTCCCCCCAATCCTGATGTCAGTCCCATCTTAACAACAGTGGCACTATGCAGTATTTGTCATTTTTGTGACTGAGATATTTAACTCAGCGTAATGTCCTCCAGGGTCACCCATTTTGTAAAATATTGCATGAGTTCGTTGTTTTTCAATGCAGCATAGTGTTCCATTGTGTGACTATACCACAGCTTCTCTATCCATTCATTTGATAGGCACTGGGATTGTTTCCAACTCTTTGCTATTGTGAGCAAAGTAGCAATAAACATAGGTGCGCATATATCTGCTTGGGTGGCAGTTCTGGTTTCTCCAGGGTTTATTTCCAGTAGTGGAATTGCTGGGTCAAATGGTATTTCTATTTGCAACTTTTTTAGAAAGAGCCATACAGCCTTCCATAGTGGTTATACCATTTTACACTCCCACCAACAGTGAATAAGAGCTCCAGTTTATGCACAACCTTGCCAACATTTGCTATTTGCTGCTCTGTTGTTTTGATTTGCATCTCTCTTAGAGCTAGAGATTTTGAACATTTCTTCACGTGTTTGTTTGCCATCTGAATGTCTTCTTTGGTAAAGTGTCTGTTCATATGCTGTTCCCATTTTTCAAATGGGTTATTTACCTTTATCTTCTTGTGGTACTCGAGTATTTTATAAATTCTAGATTTAAGTCCCTTGTCTGACATGTCATTACCAAATATTTTTTCCCAGTCTGTGGCTTTCCTTTTTACCCTGTTGGAGAAGTTTTTGGATGTGCATAGGGATTATATTCTTAGAAGGTCCAATCCATCTATTATATCCTCTCCTGATTGTAAGTTTTACAGGATGCTTGGAAGACTGTTTATGTTGTGGATTAGGGTTTATAGAGTTCTTCCAAGCTTTTCTCTAATGACGTTTATAGTCCTTGATTTTATTTCAGTTCAACCAAGTATCCCAAGGTTCATTTAGATAAAGGCAAGGAAAGGATGAACTTCTGACCATCAGATATATAACTTAGCAACACACTTTATACTTCTATCAATGCTAGATCACTATGATAAAATTTATTCAGAGCCAGAGAGTAAAATGACAAATTATTATACTTTTATTAGAAATGGTTTTCTCTCAGACATGATGTCACTAGAAATGATATGCCTCTACTTATTTGGAATTTGAGCTGCCTGAGGAAGTCAAATAAGGAAGACCAAATTGACTTTCAGTTCCAAGACTGAAAAATAAATATAGTACTGTAGTGTTTGCAAATTTAGAAAGTATAACTGTTTCATCATACAAAAAAGAGAAAGATGGAGGATCAGTGAAAGAAAAGGCCTTCAGTAAAATGTATTGACACAGTGATTCATTGTTCAGATCTCAGAAGTGTAATAAGTAAATGAAAAGACCACGGCCTGAATCAGATTCACCTCAGTCTTCAAACTGAGGCAAACTTTCAAAACAAATTTTATCAGATGATATTTACCAGGTAGGGAGCTCAGTGACCTAGGGCAAGAAACTGTGCCGCAATCCCAAAGGCACACAGTTGGAGCTGACTTCCTGCTCTGTGGGATTAACTCTCTCTGAAAACCTGAAGAAGGGTTAACCATGGTTTAGTTCTGACTGATGGTACAAAACAACATAAACCTTATGTAACACTGATGTAGTAGGAATGCCTTTCCAAAATACCGCCCTTTATCATCAGTAGACTGCTATAAAACTCTCAGACATTTGTTTTTGTATAGTAATAGCCTGGCCTTATTGAAATTTTTAGGTTGGTGTTTGGACCTATAATCTTCAAGCCAAAGAAAACTCAGAAACATTAACTGTAACAATTACTTCTCGGGCATCAACTTCTTCTGTGCCTCCAATTACAGTGAACACCAAAATGAATAAAGACACAAACAGTTTTCCTAGTCCAATGATTGTTTATGCAGAAGTTCAACAGGGGTTCTTACCTGTGCTTGGAGCTACTGTGACTGCTTTCATTGAATCAAAGAGTGGAACAACGAACACTCTGGAACTTTTGGATAATGGTGCAGGTAATTTATAAATACTTAAAATAAGCCTGTATTATAATGAAACAGACTTGTAGGATATTCTGACAGACATCAGAAGAATTGGTACAGATTAGAAAGAGCAAGACTGGTAAGAAATTTCATTCATCCAATTTCTAGAAAATGCTTAGCACAGTGCCTTCCAGATGGTAAGTACTTATTAAAGGTTGTATATATCTGCGGTCCAATGGCCTAGTGGGGAAGGAGATGTGCTGCCAACTGACAGGAAGGCAGTTCAAGGCCACTCGTGGCTCTGTAAGAGAAATATGGGCAATCTCCTCCCTTGGGATTTACAGCCGAGGAGAACCCTCTGGAAGGTTAGTTGTAAATCTGTTCTAACTGGATGGCACATAACAATTTTTCTAACTAGTAAATGTCTTTCATCTGCTCTTTTCGGTAGAATGCTTCTTTGTCAGATACTATTATATATATTTAAAAATTCAGACAGACTAAGAAGAAGGATTGGCCATCCACTTCCAAAATTACAGGCCTTCGAAAACCCTATGTACAATAGAGCACACTTAGACTATCGCTCGGACTAGAAGACAATGCAATTGAGACTGAGATCTTAGAAATGGAAATACAGAGAAAAAGGAAGAGCTGTAAGCAGACACTAGGGATTGGAATGTGGAACATGAGAAGCATGAATGTAGGAAAATTGGACATTGTTAAGAAGGAAATGGAACTCATAAATATTGACATACTAGGTACTGGCAAAATGAGATGGCTTGGCATGGTACATTTTGAATCAGATGATCATATGATTTTACTATGCCGGGGATGAAAAGGTGAGAAAAAAAATGGGGTTGGTTTCATAATTAAAAAAGTCATTTCTAGATCTATACTGAAAAACAATGTGGTGAGCGACAGGATAATATGCATAGGCATACAAGGAAGTCCAGTGAATACCACTATCATTCAAATATGTGCACCAACAACTAGAGCCAAAGAGGAGGAAAGAGAAGATTTCTACCAACTTTTGCAGTCAGAAATTGATCGAACATGCAATCAAAATGCATTAATGATAATGGGCGACTGGAACACAAAAGTTGGGAACAGGGAGGAAGGCTCAGTACCTGGAAAACACGGGCTTGGAGAGAGAAATGAGGCTGGAAATAGAATGATAGAGTTCTGCACTTTCAATGATTTATTCATTGCAAATACCTTTTATAAGAAACATAAACCCTGGCTATACACATGAATCTCACCTGATGGTATGCATAGGAATAAAGTAAATTACATTTGTGGAAAGACTTGCTGGAGAATCTCAATATCAGCAGTGAAAACCTGGCCGGGTGCTGATTGTGGGACAGACCACCAACTACTCATATGAAAGTTCAAGCTGAAGTTGAGGAAAGTTAAATCAAGTCCACAGGAACCAAGATTTCACCTTAAGTCGGTCCCACTCGAATTTCAAAACCATTCAGGAACAGGTTTGAGGCCTTGAGCACCAACGAGAGTAGACCAAATGAGCTCTGGGAGGTTATCAAGAACATCGTCCATGAAGCATGCGAAAGATCATTACAAAGGCTGAAGAAGAAGAAAAGACCAAGATGGATGTCAGATGAGACACTGAGTATTGCATTAGAGTGCTGAGAAGCCAAAGCTAAATGAAGAAGCCAAGAAATCAAAGAGCTGAACAGAAAATTTCAAAAGGCAGCTCAGGATAACAAAAGAAGATACT